ATTGCATTCATTGGCCCGTTTAATACTCTTTCAGACAAGCGGCTTCTGATCCGAATCCTCCCATTTCGTGGATTTTCACAAAGATCAAATCCACTTAATAGCACTGAAGTTCCCCAACCGAAGGGGAACTGATGCTACCAATCTCTCCTCACTTGATTATTCAAGGTAATGTTTATGTCTTCCTCATTTTGATTAGATTTTGAATTGTCAAGTTGTTCACAGATTTGTTGTGAGGAGTTTCATGTACAACCTCTTTTTCTTCTTCCAGTAGTGACGCAGTGGCACAGTAGGTAGTGCTGTCGCCTCACAGCAAGAAGGTCGCTGGTTCGAGCCTCGGCTAGGTCGGTTGGCTGAATACAATGGCATAATGATTCTGCTTGCTCACAGGAGGTACTTGATTTAGTTTTCCTCAAGCGATACATCAGTTTTTATGACAGTTCACCCAAAAAGGAAAATAATGGCATCTTTGGCATCCTCCACTTGTTTCAAAATAGTTAGATTTTTTTTTGTTCCATTGAACACAAACTCATATATATTTTTAAAGAAATTTGGTTCAAATATGGATGTCAATAGTTACTGGTTTCTAACATTCTTCAAAATATCTGCTTTAGTGTTCAACAGAAATTTTAATGGATTCAAAACACATGGAGTAATGGTGGCAGAAAAGTAAACTATCCTTTTAAATATTTTATTCTGAGACTTATTTATATGTGTCTTGTCTTTTGCCATATTGTCTTTCTAGCTCAGATTGTGATGGACCTGGAATGTGACACCAGTTACTCTTAAGTCTAGAACCAAATAAAGCACAGATGTGGAGGGATCTGCAACTAAACTAACTGGAGAAAGTAAAAAAAATTCATTTTGAAAACGAAATGCATTGATTTTATTTTTTTGCTGTTTGAAACAACTAACACTCATTTGGGGGATGGTGGGTCTCTAGCGGGGGGGGTCTTTGGAACGACCGCTGGCAAACGCTATGGATAAGCTCACCGGGGGCGTTGGTTAGACCCAGGGGAGAGCCCACCAAGCCATGCCCGGATAGAGACCACTCTCTCCGGCATGACCCGCGCCTGGAGGGGGGGGGTAGCGCGTCCCTGGGTTTCGCTGACCTGCCGTCAAGTTTTCGATAACAGACACATATGAAGGACTTAGTGCAATTTCCGATTTCGCGGTTGATCGAACCAGGCCCCAAAGTCATTCAAAGAAGCCCCAGGAGATGCGTTCGAACCCGGGGGAGCTAGGTGCGCGCAACTGCCCTGGTTCATCCAAAGACCCAGGCCCCAGAGGCATTCAAAGAAGCCCCAGTAGATGCGTTCGAACCCGGGGGAGCTAGGTGCGCGTAACTGCCCTGGTTCAGCCAAAGACCCAGGCCTCAAAGGCAATCAAAGAAGCCCCAGGAGATGCGTTCGAACCCGGGGGAGCTAGGTGCGCGTAACTGCCCTGGTTCAGCCAAAGACCCAGGCCTCAAAGGCAATCAAAGAAGCCCCAGTAGATGCGTTCGAACCCGGGGGAGCTAGGTGCGCGTAACTGCCCTGGTTCAGCCAAAGACCCAGGCCTCAAAGGCAATCAAAGAAACCCCAGGAGATGCGTTCGAACCCGGGGGAGCTAGGTGCGCGTTACTGCCCTGGTTCAGCCAAAGACCCAGGCCTCAAAGGCAATCAAAGAAGCCCCAGTAGATGCGTTCGAACCCGGGGGAGCTAGGTGCGCGTTACTGCCCTGGTTCAGCCAAAGACCCAGGCCTCAAAGGCAATCAAAGAAGCCCCAGTAGATGCGTTCGAACCCGGGGGAGCTAGGTGCGCGTAACTGCCCTGGTTCAGCCAAAGACCCAGGCCTCAAAGGCAATCAAAGAAACCCCAGGAGATGCGTTCGAACACGGGGGAGCTAGGTGCGCCCTACTGCCCTGGTTCAGCCAAAGACCCAGGCCTCAAAGGCAATCAAAGAAGCCCCAGGAGATGCGTTCGAACCCGGGGGAGCTAGGTGCGCGTAACTGCCCTGGTTCAGCCAAAGACCCAGGCCTCAAAGGCAATCAAAGAAGCCCCAGGAGATGCGTTCGAACCCGGGGGAGCTAGGTGCGCGTAACTGCCCTGGTTCAGCCAAAGACCCAGGCCTCAAAGGCAATCAAAGAAGCCCCAGGAGATGCGTTCGAACCCGGGGGAGCTAGGGGTCCATTGCTGAGCTGCTAACCCGCCTCCCAGCGCTCATATCCCCGCAGGCCAGCGCGCGCAAAGGCCTATTTGGGTCACCAACGGTAAGCGAGGGGGTCAGAGAGCCAGGAGGGGGGGGTTTTGGCGATCAGTGGTTCCCCGGGATAAGTGAGGGTGTATTGGGCAAAGAGCGCGGGACATGGAGCCCTGGAGGCCAATGGTGCACCAGCGGTACCAATTTACGCATCAGCTGAAACATTAGTGCGCTCACCGGGGGAGTCGGTTAGACCCAGGGGAGAGCCCACCAAGCCATGCCCGGATAGAGACCACTCTCTCCGGCATGACCCACGCCTGGAGGGGGGGGTAGCGCGTCCCTGGGTTTCGCTGACCTGCCGTCAAGTTTTCGATAACAGACACATATGAAGGACTTAGTGCAATTTCCGATTTCGCGGTTGATCGAACCAGGCCCCAAAGTCATTCAAAGAAGCCCCAGGAGATGCGTTCGAACCCGGGGGAGCTAGGTGCGCGCAACTGCCCTGGTTCATCCAAAGACCCAGGCCCCAGAGGCATTCAAAGAAGCCCCAGTAGATGCGTTCGAACCCGGGGGAGCTAGGTGCGCGTAACTGCCCTGGTTCAGCCAAAGACCCAGGCCTCAAAGGCAATCAAAGAAGCCCCAGGAGATGCGTTCGAACCCGGGGGAGCTAGGTGCGCGTAACTGCCCTGGTTCAGCCAAAGACCCAGGCCTCAAAGGCAATCAAAGAAGCCCCAGTAGATGCGTTCGAACCCGGGGGAGCTAGGTGCGCGTAACTGCCCTGGTTCAGCCAAAGACCCAGGCCTCAAAGGCAATCAAAGAAACCCCAGGAGATGCGTTCGAACCCGGGGGAGCTAGGTGCGCGTTACTGCCCTGGTTCAGCCAAAGACCCAGGCCTCAAAGGCAATCAAAGAAGCCCCAGGAGATGCGTTCGAACCCGGGGGAGCTAGGTGCGCGTTACTGCCCTGGTTCAGCCAAAGACCCAGGCCTCAAAGGCAATCAAAGAAGCCCCAGGAGATGCGTTCGAACCCGGGGGAGCTAGGTGCGCGTTACTGCCCTGGTTCAGCCAAAGACCCAGGCCTCAAAGGCAATCAAAGAAGCCCCAGGAGATGCGTTCGAACCCGGGGGAGCTAGGTGCGCGTAACTGCCCTGGTTCAGCCAAAGACCCAGGCCTCAAAGGCAATCAAAGAAGCCCCAAGAGATGCGTTCGAACCCGGGGGAGCTAGGGGTCCATTGCTGAGCTGCTAACCCGCCTCCCAGCGCTCATATTCCCGCAGCAAACATAAGACCCCACCGCTGACGGAGGCTAAAACGACGTGCGGCTGGTGCCCCATACACGAGCCCAGGGCCGGTGGTGACCCATTCACAAACCCAAAGACCGATTGGGCCACCAGCGGTACGTCTTGGCCAGTTGGGTCACCAGCAGCACGTCTGTCTGATCCATGCGGTTTGGAGGAGTTAGTGTCCCCGGGCTTAATAGTGGGGTGCCCGGGCACGGCTGGTGATTAGGTGCAAATCTAGGGGGTCCTTTGGAACCAGCGCTTGCCGCCGGAGGGTGTGTGTACCTCGGGCAGAGCGCGCCGGGCACAGGCCTCCCCAACGCTGGATCTCAGAGGCCCCAGGCCAGGGAGAGGGGCTGGGCTCGCTCCCCAAGAAGGGTGTGTGTACCCCGGGCAGAGCGCGCCGGGCACAGGCCTCCCCAACGCTGGATCTCAGAGGCCCCAGGCCAGGGAGAGGGGCTGGGCTCGCTCCCCAAGAAGGGTGTGTGTACCCCGGGCAGAGCGCGCCGGGCACCGGCCTCCCCAACGCTGGATCTCAGAGGCCCCAGGCCAGGGAGAGGGGCTGGGCTCGCTCCCCAAGAAGGGTGTGTGTACCCCGGGCAGAGCGCGCCGGGCACCGGCCTCCCCAACGCTGGATCTCAGAGGCCCCAGGCCAGGGAAAGGGGCTGGGCTCGCTCCCCAAGAAGGGTGTGTGTACCCCGGGCAGAGCGCGCCGGGCACCGGCCTCCCCAACGCTGGATCTCAGAGGCCCCAGGCCAGGGAGAGGGGCTGGGCTCGCTCCCCAAGAAGGGTGTGTGTACCCCGGGCAGAGCGCGCCGGGCACAGGCCTCCCCAACGCTGGATCTCAGAGGCCCCAGGCCAGGGAGAGGGGCTGGGCTCGCTCCCCAAGAAGGGTGTGTGTACCCCGGGCAGAGCGCGCCGGGCACAGGCCTCCCCAACGCTGGATCTCAGAGGCCCCAGGCCAGGGAGAGGGGCTGGGCTCGCTCCCCAAGAAGGGTGTGTGTACCCCGGGCAGAGCGCGCCGGGCACAGGCCTCCCCAACGCTGGATCTCAGAGGCCCCAGGCCAGGGAGAGGGGCTGGGCTCGCTCCCCAAGAAGGGTGTGTGTACCCCGGGCAGAGCGCGCCGGGCACCGGCCTCCCCAACGCTGGATCTCAGAGGCCCCAGGCCAGGGAGAGGGGCTGGGCTCGCTCCCCAAGAAGGGTGTGTGTACCCCGGGCAGAGCGCGCCGGGCACAGGCCTCCCCAACGCTGGATCTCAGAGGCCCCAGGCCAGGGAGAGGGGCTGGGCTCGCTCCCCAAGAAGGGTGTGTGTACCCCGGGCAGAGCGCGCCGGGCACAGGCCTCCCCAACACTGGATCTCAGAGGCCCCAGGCCAGGGAGAGGGGCTGGGCTCGCTCCCCAAGAAGGGTGTGTGTACCCCGGGCAGAGCGCGCCGGGCACCGGCCTCCCCAACGCTGGATCTCAGAGGCCCCATTAATGGTTCACCAGCGGCTCCATCAATGGTTCACCAGCGGCACATCTTTACGCATCTAGCGCCAAAAGGTCCAACAGGAATACGTTATGCCTGGCGCTCACCGGGGCGTTGGTTAGACCCAGGCCCGAGCCCACCAAACCATGCCCGACGGGAGACCACCCTTCCCGGCCTGCTTGTCGGGACGTCCCGCGCCTGGAGGTTTTTGCCCGACACCCACAATCTCTGACCTGCCATCAGGTTTTCGGGGAAGGCGAAGAAATATGGACTTAGTCTCTGACAGTCCAGTCGCCAGACCCCACGGTGACTGATCGATAGGAGCTAGTGTGGCGCCCCAGGGGCCAGGCCCCCACCCAGGCCCCCCAAAGCACCAATGGGGTCGGCCTCTATGGGTGTGGCAGATCCTCCCCGTCCTGGGCGCTCTGTCAGGGAGGCGTGGGGGTGTCCCTCCGCACACAGCGCCCCCCCTTCCCGCCCCGATCTGTGGGTAAAGGACCCAGATGGCCCGTCTGGCTAAATGACCCAGAGCTTGTCTGCTGCTCAGCCTGCCCGCCAGCCCGCCCCCCTGGACTCCGTTTCCCCCGCGCCGATACTCGGCCCGTGCCCCCGCCCCACGCCCCTCGCCCTGCGAGGGCTGGGGGATGTTCGGTGGGTTCGGTCGAGTCACCCGGCGTGGTGAATCGAGGCCCCAGGGGCAGCGTAGGGAACGAGCTGGTGTGGGCTTCGATTCTACCCCCGCCCGAGTGTGTGCGTCTGCATCCCGTCCGTCCGCCCGCAACGCCGCCCACCCCCTGGGTTTATCCTTGCTGGCTCCCGGCTGACCCCCACCCCGCCTACCCTGCTCCCGGGGGAGTGAGGGTGGTTGGTTGGGAGGGGAAGCTAGTGGACTCCGGCGAGGTGAAACGTGCCAGGGTCAGTGGTGCCGGGGTTACGGGCTGTCTGGACTCCCCTTTCGATGGTTGGTGCGTATTCCATGTTGGTTGTAGCAGGTCACAAAAGCTCCCGCGGCTGGCGCGTGTGGAGCTGTCCCCCCCCCCCAATGGGGCTCAAACAATCCCCGTTTTGGGGTGGAAAAAGTGAACGTGAATGGCTGTGGAAAAGCTCCCGCTGGCCAGAACAGCAAAATGAAGGGGGGATAGGGAGTGAGGTGGGACACCCCTTCCCCAACTCGAGTCGTGACAAGAGAGAGAGGTGTCGAACCGCTGACCGGGGCAACGATGAAGGGGCGGTGGGGTGCATTGTTTAACGGGACACCCCCTCTGGTTCCTTTGAAAAGGGGGGAAGGGAGTGAGGTGGACACCCCTCTCCCCCCTACTTGAGAAGTCGTAACAATATAAGGCTTGAACCGAATGGATCTCCGTAGGGCATCAGCTTACACCTCCTGGTGCGGGGGGGGTGTCCTTCCCCTTTAAGAAATACGGGTGCACCAACGTCATGACGCGGAAGTGGACGCCGCCTCCGGCCGCTTATTAACCGCCGCACGTGGCGTGCGGGCCCCTTTCCCCCTCTGCATTGGCTCTAGCACGGTCATGGCTGAATGTGCCCTATGCTTCAACGTCTACAGCCGGCTTGCGCCTCACCTGACGGCCGTTCACAAGGTGGCCAACTCGGACGAGAAGCGGCTGCTTCTCGCGCTGGCCGCCGGCCGCGTGGACACGCGGAAGACACCGTGCCCGGTCCCGGGATGTCGCCGGACGCCAGCCCGCCTAGACAGGCACTTGAGGCAGCACGCGGAGCTCTCGACCTCGGGAAGGAAAGAGGCTATGGGGAGGGCGAAACGCCGGAAAGTAGCTCGGGAGTTGCAGTGACTGCGGTCCACCCAGCCTGCAATCCCCGTCGTGTCCCAGCTAGCATCGTCCTCCGAGGGGGAGCGGGACTCGGAGGACCCAGAGGCCGGCCGCCCGTGCGCCGACCGCGGCTGCAGGCGCGCCACCGAGCGCATACAGGCTCAGCTCACGGACCTGGGGAAACAGGTTACCAAGATGCGGTCCACCCTGCTCCAAATCACACGCCTCTACCGGGAGCTAAGGAAGGGAGAAGGGGGGAGAAGGAGGAGGAAGAGGGCCAGGAGAACCAGGTCGCCTCCTGCACCACCGCCTCCCGGGCGAGGGGCGGCCGGAGGTCCGACGCCCCCCGAGCCTCCGGAGGCTTTGGAGCCCACTGCCTACCCGTTCCCGGACCACGTCCCCGCGCTGAGTTGAGTATATTTCAGGCACGTCACTGTCGCTCTGCTGGGTGTGTGGCTTCGGGGAAGTTGACTCTTGGTTGTGCTCGTTCCACAGACCTTCTCTTGGGGGAGTTCGAAGGGTACCAACTGGGCAGCGAGCCCACCCCCCGCCTGCGGAACAACGTCACTTCGAAGCTGGGGAGAATCAAAGCCTTCCTTGGTTACATGGCCAGGGGCACCGCGGAGCCAGGGGACTTCCTCTTCCTCAACCAACCAGCCCGAATCCGAGCGTGGGCCGCCCGGCTAGGTCAGACGCGCATGGCCGAGCCCACCAGGCAGCACTACCTGAAGAACGTGGCTCAGTTCCTAGACTACCTCTCGGAGACGCCGCCGGCCGCCTGTCAGCTCTCCAGCACGGCTCTGGTTCTGATTCGAAGGGAGGTCAGAGCCCTCATCCGCGGCATACGCCGGCGTGTCGTCGTGCACGAGGTAAGGACCAAGCAGGCGAAGGAAAGCCGACTGATCCCCAAGGCCAGCCTGGTGCGCTGTCACCGGACCGCTGGGAGGAAAATTCCCGCCCTGCTAAGTAAGCAAGCCCTTCCGCCGTTCCAGCGATTCCCCCTGTTCGTTCTTCCGGGGCACCAGCAGCTGTTGTTTGAGCTGCTGGCGCCCCGGAGAACAAGTCACCAGCAGCCAAGAGCTGTTGGTGACCCAGAAAGGAAATAGAACCGTCGGTGGTCTAATCTGTCTAATGTCCTTCACCAGATAGCCTCGAATCCAACCCAAGCACTAGGCAACAGTGGCGCTTCTATGGCTTTCTGACTGGCTACCTAACCTCCATCTCTGGGCACCGCTGTGGAGTCTTCCAGAATCTCACAATCCAGGAGGTTGAAGAGGCCTCCAGAAGCCCCGACGAGTCTGCTTATGTCATTAACGTGAGTATGGCGCAAGTAAGGTGGGGGTCACCAGTAGCATGCTCTCTCACTCACTCACTCACTCACTCACTCACTCACTGCTTGTTCTCTGATGTCAGATTACCACTCACAAAACAAACAGAGCCTTTGGGGCGGCTCAGCTGTCCCTAAACAGGGAGGAATACAGCTGGTTCCGCAGGTTTTTGGCGCTGCGGGCTGGTCTCCCCGGAGGGAGCCAGGCTACCTATTTCTTTTTCACTTCCAGAGCCAGTCCTTGTCGGACCCTGAACAAGTACTTTCAGTCTGCTTGGCTCAGTATGGGCCTTCCAGGCAAACCCACCTTTACTGACGTACGCACTGCGATCGTGACTCATGTGAGTAGGCATTGTGACGCCCCTGTAACTACCAGCGGCGGCTTCTATCCTAATCAAGCTTCTGTCTCTCTCCGACGCAGGCAAAGAATGCACACTCTTCAGAGGATCGCCGCAAGGTGGCGCAATTCATGTGCCATGACACTTCAACCTCAGATAAGTTCTACGCACTTCACCTCGGACCTCTCCAAGCACGCGAGCGCCGCAGACTCTTTGAAAGGGCCCTGGTGGAGGAGGAGGAGGAGGAGGAGGATGGGGAGGCAGCGGGCACTGAAAGCCCCCCGCGGAAAGGGCGCAAGAGGACAGAGACTTCCGTCTCTCCCCTGGTAAAAATCACATTCTCTTTGGCGTGGACAGCAGAACGTATGGCATTGGCTAACTTCCCTTTATGTGTCTCTTTTCCAGGAGGGAACCAGCAGGAGGACGCTGCCATGGCGCCCTGCCAAAGGGAAAAGCCAGGGCGCTCGCCCGCTCGAACAAACAGAAGACTCTGAATCGTCCTGAATAAATATTGTACAACTTAACGGTCAAATGGTGTTCAGTGTCTTCATTATTCCTTTTATTTATTATCTGTGTGGTAAAAGTAAATTCAGTGGGGACAAAAATGAGCCCTGTCTTCTTAGTTCAACGCTGTATGCCTGCTGCGACCAGGTCCTGCCTTGGCTACGTTCCGATTGGGACAGATTAGCCCTATCTTGTGTGTTAAAAGTGTCACGTGGGATGCCCTCGTCCAGGTTCTGCCTTGGCTACGTTCCAATTGGGACAAACTATCCCTGCCTTGAGTGTTAAAAGTGACTCGCGGGACGCCCCCGTCCAGGTTCAGCCTTGGTTGATAGCTCATAGGGAGAATGAATCCCTTTTCCAGCACAAGGGGGTGATGGGCTGGACAAATCTGTCCAGGTCTGCAAATGCTTTGAACGCCCAGAAGGCCTTGAGTCCAATTCTGTATATTAGCAAGCTTCTCCCAGGACAGCTCGGTCCTTAGAGATGCATGAATAGGTCAGGACAGGGCAGCTGTGGAGTGGAGGTTAACTTTATGGAGGAAAGGAACCTTTAGGTAAAAACACCGGCTTTATTTAGATCTGAAGTATTTTATTTGGCATAGAGTATTATGTTTTTATTCTTATTCTAATTTTATGTTATGTGTATATACTGAATATAAGTCATTTAAATTTCACAAATGATTGAATATATAATATCATCTAGATGTCTTATTTTTCATTGTCTTAAACAGGGGTGCTCAACCCTGTTCCTGGAGATCGACCTTTCTGCAGAGTTTAGCTCCAACCCTGATCAAACACAACTAAACAAACTAAATAGTATCTGAAGGAGCACTTGGTAAATAAAGACAGGTGTTCTTGATCAAGATTGCAGGTGAGCTCTGCGGAAAGGTAGATCTCCAGGAACAGGGTTGAGCACCCCTGATCTAAATGCTCAAAAATGCTGTTTCCGAGGCGAGGTTGGATGTAGTTCAGAAATAGATTCATTAGGATCAATGCTTAAAGTAAATGTTTACTTCTCTCTGTAGACCAAACATGCTTAGTATCCCTCATATTTTACTAAATTATTTATTTTGGTTACTTTTACATCTATATATGGATAAGCAAGTATTTAATAAATAAAAATATTTTAAACCACTTGACTTAACCAAATGACTCTATTACCCTAGCTGCTGGGAAAATGTAATGTAAACATGTAAAATAACAGATTTTTTTTTTTCACAGTGTGGGTGAACATACTACCTTGATGTCCAACAAAGGCTGCACAAGATCTCATATGATGGCACATATTCTGTCCTGTCTACATCTCTGACAACCTGGAAGTGCTTCGACATCAGTGAGTAATAAATTTTCATATTATCATGCATTCAGGATTTCTGAAAGCCTATTTTTTATATTTTAGTTTGTAATCAGCAGTGACTGTTTTAAAAAAATTGGTATTTAAATTATTCTTAACGTTTTACTGATGCTGTGCACAGTAACGTCATGATGATTTAATTTGAGAAAATGTCACTGGGGAGGTGTAATAATATTTATTTGTCTCACTGACATGCCATAATTGCATATTGAATTACAGTAATATGAATTGACCGCAAAATATTATCACAAACATTTCATGAAATAGACTGCTTGACTACTCTTCAGTTCCCCTTCGGTTGGGGAACTCCAGTACTATAAGTGGATTTGATGTTCTAAATCCACGTATGGGAGATTCGGTTCAGAAGCTACTTGTCTGAAAGAGTATTGAACGGGCCAATGAAAGCAATGAATTGGCAGCGTAAGCTTGCGCAGGTGTGCTGCATCGCCAATTAACTGAGCATATAAGCACACCTGGCGCCAGCAAACGCTATCCTTTTCGCTTCAGAGACTTTTCTGATCGAGCTTCATGAAGGTTCCTCTTGCTGTCTTCAGCCACATCGAGCGAACGAGTGTCTCCAAGTCCAGAGCGAGTCCACGCAGCGGCAGACGGTCGAGCTGGGTTTTCTCCCTTGCCTGGCGCCCCTTTGGGTCCAGTCCTCTAGAGCGGTGCGTATTGTTTCAGTTTCCTAAAAGAGCAACACAGTCGTGCACCACGTCCTTTTCAGGATAGCGCTCCGACTGTGCGTTTCTGGTTGCGGGGTTTCCTGGCTCCGGATGATGGGCACGATCACTGCATTACATGTTTGGGGGTCCAGCATGTTAATGTGGTGCTCGGTGGCGGTTCATGTCGTCACTGCGATGCCATGACCGTCGCGCAGTTGAGATCGCGGCTAACTTTCGTAAGAGAGTGAGCCACCCCTGTCACCTCCTGCTCTGGAGCGGGCGCTCGGGTAGATCTGAGGGTTCCAGCGAAAGATAATCCGCCGCCTAAGGGCTCGCGGACCTCTCGCTCCTCCAAGCGCTCCATCCAAGCTTCTGGTGCTGGGAGTGATCCGTCTAATCAGATGGTAGCTCTCACGCTCGCTGACACCGGAGATCAGATGTCCTCCGCGGCATCGGAGGGTGGGCTTTCATTGTCCGACGATGATCCGGACCCGCTCGCCCCCTCTGGGCAAGCGAGCGCCGTCAAAACGGATCCTGAAGCGGACATGTTGGCCGTGCTTTCTCGGGCTGCTTCGGCCGTCGGGTTGGAGATGGTTCATCCCCCAGTCCCGCGGCCAGACTGACTAGATGGGTGTTACGTAGAGGACCAAAAGGCGAAGCCTTTGAAGCCTCTCGTCCCCTTCTTCCCGGAAGTGCACAATAGGCTCACGCAGTCCTGGAGGGCACCTTTCTCTGCCCGCACTGCGTCCGCCTCTGCCCTCACCACCCTGGATGGTGGAGCTGCCAGGGGGTATGGCTGCCAGGGGAGCGCGCCATTGCAGTCAATCTTTGTCCGCGTGGCGCCCCTACTTCGCGCGGTCCCCCCCTTCTCCCGTCCAAAGCCTGTAGGTTATCTGCCTCCCTCGGAGCAAGAGCTTACAAGGCTGCGGGCCAGGCAGCTTCCGCCTTGCACGCGATGGCCACCTACCAGCGCTACCAAGCGTAGGCGCTGGCCGAGCTGCACGAGGGTGGGTCTAACCCAGGCTTGTTACACGAGCTGCGCACTGCAACTGACTATGCTCTCCGGACTACTAAGTCCGCCGCGTGCGCACTGGGGAAGACGATGTCCACACTTGTGGTCCAGGAACGCCACCTCTGGCTAAACCTGGCAGATATGCGCGATGTTGACAAAGTTCGCTTTCTTGACTCGCCCATATCCCTGGCTGGCCTGTTTGGTGACACCGTCGGTGAATTCACCCAGGAGTTCAAGGCGGTGAAGGAGCAGTCGGATGCGATAAGCAATGTCATCTATCGGCGGGACCGTAAGCCTGCTCCGTCCCACGCCGTGCCATCCACCTCCACTGCTCCTCGCCGAGGGCGCCTGCCAACGGCCACTCCCCCGCCTCCGCCTCCGGCGAAGCGGGCGCATCGAGCACGCCGGAAGCCGGCAGCCCCTTCTGCCCAGGGCGCCGCTAAGTCCGGTAAACGGACCGCAACCGTCCCTGAGACAGGCCATCCGGAGAGGAGGAAACTTGCTCTTTCCCCGCTGGAAGACGGGGCCCATATTCCAACAGTACTTTTCAGTGCCACCAAAGTTTCGAACAAAGAGCATTTTTCCCCTTCCCTGGATGTCACAGTTCAAACCCTGCCAGTCTGGGATGCGCTGCCTCTCAGCTCGCAGGGTCTGCATACTCCGCCAGCGGCTCACGGGCGCTGGGGGGACGGTCTCCCTTCTCCCAGCCCCCAAGCCCCCCCCTCCGGAGTCAGGGTGAGGAGCCAGAGTGTATCGCTCTCCTCCAGCTCTTCTGTGGGACCCTCACGCTCCCCATATCAGCACACCCGCTCCA